AAATAAGGAGAGAGAGGAAGCTCTCGCTCTCTTTCTTCCGGCGGACCCAAGGTGGAGGTAACTCTACTATCGCTCTGCCCGGGTGAGGGAGTGAGGCCTGGCGTGTCTGGTTGGCCTTGAGAGGCGGACAGTGCTGTGGTAGCTGTGTGGTGTGGCTCGCTTCCTCTCGAGGGGAGTATTTAACTTTTTGTCCCTTTTTGTCCCTTTTTCCCTTTTCCCTTTCTCTTCCCTTTCCCTTTTGGGGAGTTCCCTTTGGTTGGTAGTGTGTATATAGTTTTCTCTATGTATATATATATAAATTTGAAATTTATTCAGTTTGGGTTCTTTTGGTTTTTTTTTCAGTCGGTTGGGAGAAAGTGAAAGGGAGGGGTCCAGGCACTTGGCTGGGAGCCAAGTCCAACCTGGGACAATTAGAGAACAGAAACTTTTGAAAGAAAAAACATTTTCTACTACATTGAAGTGAACATGTCAAGAGGAAATTTAATCCTAATAAGATTTAAATAATGCAATTCAGTTACTCTACAGAACCTGCTTTTCACTTACCCATCGGAAATCTTTCCCATCAAATTTACTGGCACTCGTAAATAGCACAGTCCTGGCTGGCATATTAATTCCCATAGCAAAAGTCTCTGTGGCAAATAAGGCCTAAATAAACAGACTGAAGTTAAGCAAGCAAAAAAAAGGCTCTCAAAACAAACATGAAAATATTCAGGGATTGCTACACAAAATCTCTCCAGATTTTAATACATATGTACAGTCAACATAGGGAACAGGGGACATTCAATACATAAAACCTGAAGAAAACCATTCTTTCTCTCTTTCCTTACTTTCTCTGGTAAAATATGAAAACTAGTAAGATGGGACTAAATAGGCTCCAAAAGAAAGCATTAGAGAGTGCAAATTACATTAATCAATAATAATAATTCCAATATTCAAATTTTGCAAAAAGAAAACAGGAATTAGACACCCAAAAAAATCTCACACGACTGTCATATAAAGTTACATTTTTCTGAAAGTATGTCACTTAGGACATTCAGCACACAGGTTGGTGAATGTCCAGCAACATTTATAGGAACAAAATTTAACACAAAATAGTTGAAGAAAATGTTCCAAGCTAGATTATTATTTTAAGTTCAAATACTTTCAAATAAAATCTGAAACACTTATAACTACAGCTGCAACTGCACACTATAATACTATTGTACACCCTGACCTAAGACATACTTTTGGATTTTCAGGATTACCAACTATGTATTCAGAACAGAGAACAAACTAAATATGGACATAAAAAATACCTTTATTAGGCCTTCAGAGAAAAGAATTTCTATGGTTTCTTTTAAGATAGGGAGCAAACCACCATGATGGATACCAATTCCTCGTTTCAGAAGAGGAAGTACATGCTCGACCTGGGAAGAAACATACAAAAACCAGTTAACAAATTTTAGTATTTGTTACTAGAAATTAAAACTTGCATGGAAAATCTCACCACTGCCCTTAGTGATGATGTCATTCACTGTTTCCCAATTTAAAACACAATAATTATTCCTTCAATATCACATTCCAGTTAGAACTAGGAATAATATGAAGGTTAAAGTTAGAGGCCAATCCTTTCAGTAGACCAGTCTCAAACTGGGTTAGGCACTGTAGAGGTATGACCTAATTTACACATGCAGTTAGTATTTAAATTTGTTTCTATTTAAAAAAAAAAAAAAAGCCTAATTCAAAATAATTTTTGAAACAGTGATTCTGGTATGTATGAGATATTTTGTTTCAAATTTAGTTGCCATAATTTCACTTACTGGGATGTGCTGTAAAGCAGTGAAGTCAGCACATAGCCAGACAATGAAATTCAGGCTGCTAATGACTGAAACAAATTCTTTTAATTCTAAGAGCATTATACTTCAAACAAATACCTAAGTAAACTTAGCTTTCTGGTTTTTTTTCCTTTGACAACAAAGATTTTCATTAACAATCTGTTAACACTTGGTTTTCACCCCAAACCTAATTCTGAGAATACACAGATACTAAAACAGATAACTAGGATAACAATACCACTTTTTAAGCTGACCAAAAAATCCAGCACACACTACCTTATATATTGGATCCTTACTTTCTGGATTTTTTTCATATTCATAAAACAGGTATGTGAAAATCAAACCAACCAGGCATGGTCAAAAATTAAATGGCTGATTTTTTTGTAAGGAGAAACTGCTACATTCACAATAAAGATCATATCATGAAGACATGATGGACACATATCAACAGAAAAGGGGGATAGAAAGAAATGATAGTTCTTGTTACAAAAGTACTGAATCTTGTAATATTCTGTCCATTTAGAAGCTTTTATTTTTCCACTGGAAGGATGGGAAAATGTCACTATGCTTGCTCATTGAACAATAAATTAGATTGCAGATGCATCACCTGCATCACCACAACTTTTTGAAAGCTTCAGAAGCCAATAACTGATAAGTTCATACTGCACTCTCTCCTGAACTATTTCCAGACAGTTTAAACTCAAGTCTGTGTCTTTATAAGCTCTTATGTTTACTTAAAATCATAATTAGAAAAAACAAAACGAGGCAAGGACTCCACTGGTAATTCTGGCATACATCATTTGCTGGAATCACAACTGGAAGGAATCCAAATCACCTGTTTCATAATGACAAGGAGCAATGAAAGAGATACTAAAACTCAGAGAGATGAATGAGATTACCCAGTTTTAAAATTTCTGTACCCTTTGCAAAAGATCCACAGCCACAAAAGTTGCAGAAAACAGGAGAGCAGCAATTCAACTCTATTCAAAAGAACCCTATTCAACTTCCACTCACCTGAGGAAGCTTTTTGTCTTCATCCGACAGACAATCAATTGCATTATTGAAAACTTCTTCAACCATCTTTTTTTCTTCATCTAAGAAGGCAATTAGTAAGTTATTAAAAATGTAGAAGGCTAATACCATATGTAAATAAAGTGTTACCACATTCTAATATTTATGAAAGTTTACAATAAAAATAGCATGGAAGACTGAGAAGTCTAAACAAAACCTCCCACTCTGGGTCAAACGACCAAGACTCCAAAGAGCCTAAAGAAGCCTAACAGTAACCAGAAGTAGATGATTAGGAAAAAGGAAAACAGAACAAACCTGTCAGAATAATCCAAACTTCTGCTACTTCCAAACTTGGGAATTGCAGTTTTATGTACTACCAATCTATCACATAAACCTCCCCATTTCTCTTCCAACCACTAGTCCATGTTTGCACTGACATAGAGGCTCTTCCTTATTAACTCTCAAAGTTTACACCCTTAATACTACGTTGCACAAATACAAAGAAAATACACTCAAAGGCGTGACTCAGAAGAAAACATATGAAAATGCATCTCTGCAGTTATGCACATCTTTAAATTTTCTGACAGAAACACCAACACTATTCTGCAACAGAATCAAAACATGCAAAGATCGGAGCAAGTAAGCAAGCAAGAACTCTGAACAGTTCACAAATGTGGAACAATACATTGATTTACACCAAATTCCTTATTTTTGTTACAACTCCTTAGATTTCTGAGAAGCAATGAACTTAAACTTATTTCCCAAGTGTGGTCTTAGTCCAAATAAAATAAAATTATTCTTTGTTTACATTTTGTTTTTCACTTCTCAGAAGGGGGAAGAAGGAGAGAAAGAAAACTGGACTGTGTAGTTAAGAAAGAACTGTCTAGTGGTTTCTTATACAGTTATTTGGACTTCGAGAGAATACTCATTTTTGAAGTGGACACAATATGAAAATTTTGGGAAATACTTTTGTTACGATCAGTCTTCTCCCATTATATACAGAATTTTCTAGGAACTCTCGTGCTATTATTATAATAAACATGTTACTGTAGAAAGAAGTGGAGTTTAAAACAGAATAACTGTTCAACATTGTGGTGACCAAATACTCCTTGTGCACCAAGAGTTTCTTACTGAAAACAGCCTGATGTACTGGCATAGTAAATGTGTGCTTTTCATCTGTTTTTACACAGACAGTTCCTAAGGAAAAGTAACATTTCACACTACACTACATCTCTCAATAAAATTGTATTGAATTAACTCCACCTGTATTGAAATCTAACTTTGTCATCTGAAGTGCATAGGCTTCACAGTCTTTCTTACTGAAGCTGAAAATAATCACAGGTTGGAAATTCCTTTCCATGATCATCTTCACAATCTTAAAAACATTTGAAGGACCTGCAGAGAGAGTACATTAATTTAAACTAAATTTTACAAAAAACAAAGTCCTACTGAGTAATTAAAACACAAGCACAACTTGCATATAACTTTGTAGTATTACATATACAAAAAGTTATCTCAGAATAGGATTCCAACTCACCTTTTGTTCCTCCTTTCCTACCTTTCTGGTCCCCTTTTGCTAAGTCACCTGCATCTCTAAGTACTTGCATTGCTGTATTAAAATTATCTTCTCTGAAATCTCCCTAGAGGTAAAACACAGCCTTTGTTAGTAGTTACTTCTTACACAGCCCACGTAAAAATACTTTCTGTTTTGCACACTCAGTACCATTACTCCACATACCCAGGCAGAGGAACAAAAACAATTCATAAGCTGGCAAGGAGTTAACTAGGTCATGTCACAGCTCAGAATTACACTGGTGTCTCTGAAGTTCCTGCTCATTGCTCCTACCATCACACCATCAATCACGCCACACGTGCCGAATGGCACAATACCAAAACTGACTTTTAGGAACATCCACATAAAACTGTACTGCCCAAAAGCAGATCTAGCTTCAAGCACAATACTGCTGTTTATGGCGTTAGCTATTCCTGAGCAAGTTGATGATGAATTCTAAACAAGTTGTTATTTCAAAATTACCTAAAGGAATAAAAATATTTTGCACCCTCTACCAACGTGAAGTTTACATGCTCCTACTTCCTGAGTGAGAAACAGTACAAGGAATATCAACTACTTTGCAGATTTACAGAAAGCAGCACGCAATTTTGAAAACAAAGCAAGGATGTGGGCACTTAATACATTTCAGGGAACTATTACTCAGCTGCCTGCATGACGTTAGATAACCAGTTTCTTGTATAAGACTCCAAAAATCTAAGAGCAATTCAGAGAACATAACTACTCACTTGTACTTAATTTTAACAAAAACATCCTTTATGCAGCCCATTCAAATTTTGCAAGATCTCAGGCTTTTGAGTGTGGAAAACAAACTGAATTTTCCTTACATTTTCATCCACAACCAGATGGAGTCCATCTCCTCCCGCTGGGAATATATAATGCTGCAGTGGAGTGGGTCGATAGTCAGTGTAAATCACGTGACAAGGCTATAAAGAAAAAAGTTCACATAAATATTTTATAATTGCTTTTTAAAAATTGCTTGATGGAAAAGTCAATACATTACTACTAAAATACAGCTCTCTAAAGGTCAGAAAGTAAGGCTCTCAGTGTAAGATAATAAATTTTCTTTCCTGAATACAGCTTTTGTACTAATGACATTCTTTAAGAAAATGAAAGTTTGCAAATGCTTTAGAACACAAGTTGGCTACAGAAATTTCCTCTTGTGAGAGAAAGACAGGCAATATTTCCTTCTGCATTATTAGACAGACTCACAATATTAACACCTTCTAGAATCAAAGGAAAAACTGCTAACTTTCTTTCATAAAAAAAGCCTGAAGTTTTTCTTAAACACCTAAAAGAGGTTCACAGTACACTTTTATGAACATTTAAAGTTTCACTGGATAGAGAAAGCTCCCTTAAGGAAAAAACAAACATAACACTTCATTTAAAACATTAAGTGTTACCTAAATCCGCTTTGATCACTGATCACCTATGATCAAGTGTTCTGCAAAATGAAACCAAGGTTTTGTGCCAAGCTTAAATAGACATGTCTTGACTACACTTCCTTTATCACAAACAATGTAAGAATCAATCTCTGGGATATTTTTAAAATTGGACCAGCCTCTTGTTGATACTAAATTCCCCAGTTCTAATTCACAAATTCTTTGCTACAAAAGCAAGTCTTGAAAAAAATCCAGAATTAAACCCCTAAAGGTTACAGGACAAACTTCTTATGTATCTCTTTTTTTCTTGCTTTGTGACCATATATAGTACTTCCTATGGATTTAAAATTTACTTTTGATGCCTGCATGGCATTTTTACAGAGCTCCTCAAAAAATTTCTCCCAATAACCTTGTTTATCAGCTCAGAAAATTACTGTACACTCATCATATTTCATAATTCAGAATGTTTGTTGAAATCAGGCAGGTACCTAAATAACTGCAGAAAAAAAAACCACTAAAGAAACATCTCTAACATTACCATTTAGAACCAACAGGCAGTAGAACTGCAAAAGTAAGACTACAACCACAGAAGCCAGGGGTGATCTGCTATCATCTGTAAGCAATGACATGACTAAAAAGGCACTCAAAGGCCCAGGTGTTATCAGCCATATCGTTTTATGTCAAAAAACAAAGATGGAGGTGTAGCACATGAAAAACACTACCTGTTTGTGAAGATGGCAAATCCATTCAGCAAACTGCCGGGCATTTGGAATAGTTGCAGAAAGGAACACATAATGTACATTGTCAGGGAGCAAAATAATTGTCTCTTCCCAAACCACACCACGTTCTGAAAACGGAAAATTCACATGAGAAATTTATGCCATCAAAGCATGTTTTTCATCCCTGAAGCCAAAGAACAGCATGTGTAAATACAAAATAAAACAAAAACTAAAACAAGTCTCCCCTACACAAGTGAGATATATCAAATGCCCTCAAAGTTGCTTTTGCCTTGGAAAAGAAAATGCAAACTGCAACACATAATAATTATATACAATCAGTAAGAAACAAATTCTTATAGATTTATAACGAATTTATAATATTCTCTCTCTTATTTTAAAAGAGAGAGAATAAGACTTAATTCTTCAAAAGGAAAAGAAAATGTTTTTCAGGAAAAAATATGATTTCTTGAAAAGACAAAGTACGTATAGGATACCTGAGTCTCTCATGTAGTGAATTTCATCAAAAATAACCCATGCGACTTCCCGCATAACCTCAGAACCTCTGTAGAGCATACTTCTCAAAATCTAAGAAAAAAAAAAAAATTTAGTTCCATCACATGAAATAATAGTCACATTACATACATGTCAGTAAAAAAACGCCAGAATTTTTGGTTCACATTTATATGGCAGTATGAAATCTTACTTTGCGCAACACCTAAAAGCATTTTAGATGCTATTTTAGACAGGTTCTTAGATGCTTTCCAAGTTGATTCAATCTAACAAATCTCACTACATGAGAAGAATAGGTTTCCCTGCAAGGAACACTGAAGGAACATGAAAGAATAAACCATATTGCTCCCAGCTACTATGTGTCAGCATAATTGTTACATGTCTACAGATGCCCTTCTTTTTCCCTCATCCTAATACATAACCCCCCTGCAATTAAGAGGAAATCTTTCGTCAGAAATCATATCATCCAGTCTCTCTACCCTAATCTTTCCCTATCAAAGTTTTGTCTGCTCCTTTGAGGTAAAGACAAAAAGAGGAAAATTGCGACTTATGGCTGGACAGATTTCTACAACAGAAATACGGCAAAACTCCACCAACAGTGCCTTGTTACCAAAAGTTAAAAGCTGCATATTCCTGGAGTTCTAGGATCTGGTGTGAGCCACTTAACTACCCCTCCATGATTTTGCTCTTCCCATTTTGCCTCCCTAGAACATAACACTGACTCCACAGTGTGACTGTCAGCTTTTCACATCTATCCAAAGAAAAGTCAGTGTCCTGAGCACTCAGGAAAATAGTTCTGACTCTCTCCACAACAAAGTTCCTGACTGACTGTTCAAAAGCATGAATTCACAGCGATTTATCTCACATTTTAAATAACCAAAAGTTAAAACATTCAATAACATTCATAACAAACTTTAGAAGATTTTCTACCCTGAGTAACTTTAATGTTTTAATATCAGACCTTCCCAATCAAAAAAGGTAGAAGAAAACACACAGATCGCGAATTAATGTCTGATCTTACCTCGGTTGTCATTACCAGACAAGAAGCTGTAGGATTAATGGTAACATCTCCAGTCATCAAACCAACATCCTGAAATTCTTCATACATCTCACGGTACTTCTGATTACTCAAAGCTTTAATTGGACTTGTGAATATCACACGCTGCTTCTCCCTCAGAGCTAGGGCAATTGCATACCTGTATTCAAACACTGTACATATTAGAGTTTTCAGGAAGACATTCAGAGCATATTACTTTGCTCCAATCTCCTGCTTAAAAGCAAAATAAATTATGCAATTCGGAACACCAGTAAAATGATGTGCAACATTTGAACCCATGCTCTAATAAATCCTGCATTTCATATCTAGATTAAGTTCAGTGCACTCTTAACTCAACTACATATGCCTCTTTGGAGAGGAAAAAATTCTTTACACCAACCTAACTGATTTTTAAGGACACCAGAGCACATCTCATTTAACTAAAAAACTGTCACTATCTCACAACAAAACTACTATTATTTGAGCCCATGCTATAATATACCTTCAAGTACATCTCCCTTTTTACTTCAGGTCAGCAAATTCACTCCATTGTCCGACCAAACCCTGACAGAAAATATACACTAGCTTTTAAAAAATTCTTGCCTGAAAGACATTTAAGTTGCAAACTAAATCAAATGAGTGCTTCTAACAAAAGAAAAAAAAACAAACACAAGAAAGTCCTTATTAGTTATAACCAGGAGCTAGAAAAAAAAGGTATTTTTTTCCACATTAATACAAATCGGTATTGAAGAAACTTTCTCTTCAATCTATACATTAAGATCCTGACAGGTAGTTCAAAACCAGAAATTTAGCTTAAACACAAATTACGCCTTTCACTGCCCAGTAAACAAGATGAAAAATGTAATTTTTATATTTAAGAGTGGTCAGTGTAGTTCTAACACCTATGGACTGAACACAGCATCAAGAAACTGGGACACAATAGCTACTGATGGTGTAACAAAATGACTTAACAAACATCACATCCTTCTATTAGAGCTTGTTAGGAAATTACTTACTCAGCACAAACAGTTTTACCAGCTGATGTATGAGCGGACACTAATACAGACTGGTTGTTATCTACACAAAGAATAGCTTCTCTCTGAAAGGCATCAAGAATAAATGGATATTCCTAGAAAGAAAAAAAGCAAAAACATTACATAATGTTAAGACAGAGTTACATTTAATTAATTTTCTGACTGATCTAGAGTGCAAATTAGAGGCAGAAATCCTACAGATATTCGTAATTTCAGTTGATCCTAGTCCTGTATTCTGCAATGACTTTGTATTTAAATATTTTCATCTAATAGCACACCTAAGATCTTTGCTTATGTCTTGATGTCATATCAAATTAAACTCTTGTCCAATGACTGAATTTTCTCTAGTTTACTAATTTCGGAAGAGAAACTACAGTGATGCCACCACCTGATGTTGCAAAAAGAACTGACATAAAAGCCTATCCACCCCATTCAACAATATAATTTTCTCTACCAAATTTTAAATACAGAAACATCGTACTTATGACAGGCCATCTTCTCCAGACCTTACTGACAAAGTTCATAATTTTTTGCTCTACTCTCATCTACTATCTAAAGCATGTACAAAAAAAAAGAAATGCAATCGACCACATACTTTTGCAGCTTTTCCAGTTCGCGGCTTCAGACCTGTGAATTCTTCATCTGCTGGAAGTGCAACCTATAAAATACATTTAAAATAAAAACAGTTGCAGAATTGTCTGTTCATTGCAGTGATGTCTGGCAACATCAAGTGTATAAAAACTAACTTGAATTTCTGTTACCCTCTTTCTGTGAGCTCATGTGTCAAAGGTTCCTTCCTTCCTCTTAAGAATTTTTCAACCAATTTCTCTATTTTCCTGCCCCAACAATGCTCCTTCTCTCACTTTGCTGCTTCCCCTCCCTTGGAACACCAGCTCTTCAGCACAAGCCACAGTCATGGCTTCCAGTCAGTGGAGGTTAGAAGCAATTACTCAGCTCACACCGATTATATTCCCTTTCCATACAACACTGTTATTTAAACAGGTAATGTTCCTGTTCCCGGCCAATATCCCACATTTATTCATTCTAAACACTTAAGCTCTGTTCAGTTACTAAGTCAAGGCAAACCTCTACAAGACATCTCAAGATAATAGTAATTGTACAGACACCTGGGCATTAATATTTGCCATTGTTCACATTTAGATGTGTATTTATGCCTATCAATACAATTTGAAAATGGATAATTTTCAAAATTTTGTTTTCACAAAAAAACCCCTTTTTTTTTCTCTTTGCCAATATGTAATTTTCAACAGTAATCAGCTTTACAAGAAAGCCTTTCATTCTTGAACAAGAATAGCAGAATACGGCATAATAGAGAATGCACTGCTGCACGCCCAGATCGCAGCATGAACACAGTCCTATTTTAACAATCAGTAGGTTTTCCTCCTCAACTACAGTGTTCAGAATGTTCTCAATGCCTTTCAGATACGGAAACCTACCTACATTATCATCAAGTCTTTCACAATCTCTCAATTTCATTACAAGTATGATTCAAACTGCTTCTGGTAAGGTATCCCACCAATTTTTCAAGTGTATTTTTTGAATGCTCCATGTCAGATACGGACTTCAAACTCTTTAAGAGCATAAATATAATATAAAATAATATATCTGCTGAGGGGTACAAAGGTTCTGCAGAGGGATCTGGACTGGCTGCTGGATCAACGGGGTGAGGTCAATGGTATGAGGTTCAACAAGGCCCAGTGCCGAGTCCTGCCTTTGGGTCACATCTCCAGGCAGGGCTACAGGCATGGTAAGGTTTTGGTTGGTTTCTCCTCAGAGGTAACAAGTGACAGGACCATACAAAATGGCCTCAAGCTATACCAGGGACAACTGGCCACACAGATGATATCAGAAAAAATTTCTCCACAGGAAGGGTTGTCAAGCATTGCAACAGGCGCCCAGGCAAGCAGCTGAGTCACCAAACCTGAGGGTATTTAAAGACATGGAGATGTGGCCCCGGGGAACCTGTTTTAGTGGTGGAATTGGCAGTGCTGGGCTAACGCACTTAAAGGTCTTAAGGATGATGTTAGAGGTCTTTTTCATCCTAAATAAATCTGCAATTCTATGATACAATAATTAAAAGTGAAATAAACAATACTATTAACTATAAATACAATTACATGAAACAAATCTATATTTTTCAAGTGCATTTTCACTGCACTTACCTCATGTGTGCAGCCTTCAACAGTTTCCACAGCTTGTACCTTCACTTGAGGCATCAGGTCTGCCAGACTAAAACCACATGAGTTAGGATCACTGAAAAGCATTCAAAAATTCCTCTTTCTTTATAAACATGAACATCTTGAATTTCAGCTCTACTTTAATTGCGACATGAAGAAAATATGCACAGTCTTGACATGGACAGTCGGCAGAGACTACTCCTAGGACTAATACTTGTAAGTTAAGATTTTGCTGCTACATAAATTTACTTTAGCTACTGATTTAAATCTTTCACCACAGCACTTGGAGCTCATTTGCTCGCATAAAGTTTTATGACTAAATGAGGACTTTTTCCAATATAAACCAAATCAAAATTCAAGACCTGTATTCATGCTGCTAGTCATGACACAGAATAACAGCAGCCTGGATCATCCCAAGTAGCTGCCTGAAGACAAGGCCCAATTTCTTTACCAGTTCCTTCTTTCATGGCCACAAGGAGGGACTACGGTCTCACTGCATGAAACTTTTTTTTCCTGATGATTTTATAAGCTACTGTGGGCAAATAAATACTCTGCTGATACCACTAACTCAGAAATTGTCTTAAAATGTTGGCTCTGGTTTTCTCTTGCTTCTATACCCTTTGTTTACAGTGCTCTGAGAAGTCTTCTCATGACCTTTTCACAGAAAATCTTTCAACTTGGAAAAAATTAATATGCAAGATCAGCTGACAATCCAGACCAGAATTCTGCCTGACAGAAGTCAGTAACACATCACCCAGAAAACAGCATAAGAGCACAGCAAATACATATGTTACATTTCTGTAGTACAGTTTTCTGCATCTTGAGCAGGAAGTGCACACCCGCATTTGGCAGGTCTGGATGAGGGTTTTTTTTCCATGAACCATCCTAATTTTCTGAATCAACATTAGCTTTTGAGTTTCCATGAATCTCTTAAGACACAAAAAGATGAAAAAGTGCCTGCACTACCCGTTCCACCTATTTTCAAAACACCTCATAATATCAGTCATGAACTTCTGGAAAGAAAGAAACAGATAGATATGCAGATCCTACAGCACAGAAATGGCATTCTGGCTTCCCTTCAGCTGTGTCATCTCCCCAGCTGCTGACATGTCCAAGTATACCCCTCTATCCACATCAAATATCTGACATTTATGCCCAAATTTAAATGCATGCCTGTAACCAAGATTCCAAGTATTTGCTGCAGTTACCACCTTACATGCCTCAAAAGTCTTGTTTTTGTCTCTCTGGCCAAATTACTCTTTCTAATTATCCCACAGTATCCACAGAATCCCAAGCCAACTATGTTTTTCAGTGGCATGGTACACATGTACTTGCTCATCTCTTGCTGTGTTTGGAATCAACACAATGACTCTGACCAAGAACCCCCAATTCATGAGTACCCACAAACTCTGTACTTACATAGGTGATGAATGCTAAACACATGAGTAAATACATGAACGCCTGTACTTTTATTTTAAGCATCAGTGCTCATCAGCACTGAGACTGCAGTAGCAGCACATCCTCACTTAAAATAGACAATGGAAATGCAAATTTTCATGCAAAAATTCATCTTTTTTTTAAAACAGTGCAAAACTGTTTTATATTGACTGTTCACAACCAGCAATGGCTAACCAGTATGGCTTGCTGGGACTATTTCACACGTTAAGCTGGGCACTTACTTAGCATCTTCTGATACAACATCTTCCAATTTTGGCTTCTTTCCCGAAACAACAGCTTCTGTACTATCAACCTCAACATCCCTTTTTGGCTTCCCTGTGGCTGGTACTGAAGGTTTTTCTTCCAATCCTTTCCTGCAGCATAAACAGACAAAAAATTTATACTTTGCATCTTTAACTTATTTATTTTCAGGAAAGAAAACAGGTATCCCAATAGTGACTGTGATCACATTGTGTTCAGGGAACAATCCAGGGAGAACTCCACCCACATAACACGCTGGGGGATTTGAGGCCACTTCCTAGATAAGCTGGCCAGCAGGTCCCAATAATTCATAATTTCCACTGAGACTGAGCTGACTACAGCTTTAGGGCCAGAAATTTTGGGAAAGCAGGCCCCAGAACTACAGAACAGGTCAGTTGGAAGGCCCCACAGCGATCCACTCTCCCTGATCCAGCAGGGTCATCCCAGAGCACATGGCATAGGATTGCATCCTACAGTTTCGGAATATGTCCCGTGAAGAAGACTTCATCACTTCTCTGGGCAACCTGTGCTTGGTCACCCACACTGTAAAGAAGTTCTTCCTCGTGCTCAGATGAAACTTCCTGTGCATCAGTTTCTGCCCGTTGCCTCTTGTACTGCTGCTCGGCACCACCAAGAAGAGCCTGGCTCCATCCTCTTGCCACCCTCCCTTCAGACATTTCCAGACATTGGGGCCCTTCATGCTGCACCGACTCCCGCTGTCGGGGATGTCCAGAAGCTCCCATCGGCCGGCACAAGCCAGGCCCAGCGCCACGACCCGAGTCGCCACCGACAGAGCACCCCGGCCGCTCTCCGCGCCCTCACCCCGCTCTCCTGGCGGCCTCGGCGGCGCCCGCTTTGCCCTTCTTGGCGCTAGAGGCGGTGGCGGCCGCGTCCTCCTCGAACACGCTGAAGAGCTCGTCCCCGAACGCCTCCGCCATGCTCGCCGTGCTCCCGCAATGCCCCGCGCGGGGGAGCTTCCGGCGCCGCACCCCGGGGGAGACACACAGAGCCGCCCGCCGGCCCTGAGCGCCAGGAACTGCACCCACGGCCCGCTGCCGACCCCGACCCCGGCTCCGCTGCCGACCCCGACCCCGGCCCCGCTCCCGGCCCCGGCCCCGCTCCCGGCCCCGCTCCTGGTCCCCCGGGCCGTCACCCCGGCCGACCAGCTGAGCCGGAAGAGGAGGTCGCGCGGCGCGCGCGCGTGCGCACTGGGCGGGAGGTGTGCCGGCCAATGGGAAGAGGTGTCGGCTGTGCCGCGCGCGGTGCCCGGACCGACGCAGGCGCGCAGCGCGTGGAGCCGGCGCGCGCCATGGGCGGCCGCAGCAAGAAGCAGCGCGCGGGTGGCGCGGCTCACGCGGCCGCCGCAGCTACCGCCCGCGCGCGCGCCGCCGCTGCGCAGCCCCCGCCGCCCCCGCCGCGCGCGGGGGCCGCGCCCGGAGAGCCCCCCGGCAGGACCGGCCCCGCCCGCCCCGCGCCCGCCGCCAGGGAACCCCGGGTCAGACAAGGTACCGCCGGCAAACACGGCAGGACGGGCTGCGCCCCGAGGGGGGCCCTGAGCTTGCGGCTGCTGCTGCCCGCGGGCCGGGAATGGGCAGAGGGAGGCCCTGCGGAAGGGCCGGTGTTTCCCGGCGGCGGGAGAGGCGGCGGGAGTCGCTCCACCCCGAGGCTGGTTGGGCCTGGCGTCAGCTCGCCCTGCCCGCCGGAAAGGTCGAGAGAGGTGATCTTGCCGCTACGCTCGGCCCCGATGAGGCCGTGTCTGGAGTGCTGTGCCCAGTTGTGTGCTCCGCAGGACAGGAAAGGAGCTATTGGAGAGGGTCCGGCGAAAGCCACAAAGATGACGAGGGGTCTGGAGCATCTCTCGTGTGAGGAGAGACTGCGGCCAGGCTTGTTTAAAGAAAACAAAACTGAGAGGGTTTCTCATTAATGCACATAAATACATCTTAAAGGCTGGTGTCAAGAGGATGGTGCCAGACCCTTTTCGGTGGTGCCTGGTGACAGGACAAGGAGCAATGGCTGTAACCTAAAACAAGTTTCAGAATTTCTTTACGTTTCGGATGACAGAGGACTGAACAGGCTGCTCAGAGGGCTTGTGGAGTCTCCCTCTCTGGAGACATTCCAAATCCACCTGGATGTGTTCTTGTGTCACCTGCTCTACATGACCCTGCCTGGGCAGGGGAGTTGGATTAGATGTTCTCCAGAAGTCTTCTCCAACCATAACTAGTCTGTGATTCTGCTTCCATGGGGTGTCCCTGAGCAGATGAACCTTGCTGGCGTCAGTGTGTTGAGTTATTTACAGAAAGTCTTGTTATTAGATTAGCAGCAGTTCCTGTGCAGCAGGTGTTTGGGAGGCACTTTTCCCAGAGTTTCTTAGGTAGATGTTCATTTTGTATGTTGTCAAAACCAATACATTCTGGATTTGGGATTATTTTGGAGGTTTTTTTTGTCTTGAAAGAGCAGTTACAGGGCTGGCAGTTACAGCACTTCAGCAGTGTTGGGCGACCCGAGGGATGACTGTTCTGGGTGTAGTCTAAAAAACTAGTATTCTGCAGCATTGTGAGATACCTGTTTTCAATAAACCAGTTTTGCCAGAAGTAGCTCAGATATCGTATAATATTAGAACAGTTTGTGTTGCAGACCATGAGCAATCATGCAATGGCCAGGCCATCTGAGATTCCAACTCGTTAAAAAAGTCTTGCAATCCATTAATATAAGCTTCCTGAATGTATTCAAGTACTCTGCTTTTACAAATCTGGGCTCTGCTAAATGTATTTCTTGTGTCCCCCATTCCCCCAACGGCACTGGTGCTCAGTCAACTTCAGAAAATGGGCCACTTCTCTCCCAGCTGTGGACTGTGGTGAAAAATCAGTCAGTGTAAGTGAAAAGTTTGTATGCTCTGAACACTGTGTGGTTGCAGAGCCCACCAGTCAGTGCCTGTGGGTGACTTGTGAGTGCTGGCAGCTGTTCGTATTTCCTGACCAGAGGTGACCATGTTTTTCCTGAAGTGCAGTTACCTGCACCCCATCCTGATCCAAATCTAGAAGCAGGCTCTCCCAGAGCCCTTCTGCAGGCAGTCCAGCCCAGACAAGGCTGTCCAGCCTCCTGCTGGGAGGGGTCTGTGCCTCCAGGTGAACAGTGCTGCTCCCTTGGAGTGGTGTGCAGCCACTTAAGGTGGCATATAAGCTATGGGTTTGCTTGGTTTCTTTCTACCTGTGCAGTACCAGACATGGTATGTGTGTTCTGAAAGTGATGGAATCCAACAGCAAGGTGTGTGTTGTCATTCCAATGGCAATAAGTAGTTTTGTGACTTAGTTTTTTTCATAATAGCTGCTAAATGAAAAGCATTTAATCATGACCGTAGCACACTTAGACTGAATGCTTCTGTAACCACATGGCCTCCTAAATAGGAGACAAAGGCAGGTACCTAAGTAAGAGTAGGTCAGACATGCAGTGATACTGCTGTAGGGTGATCTTACATCCTCCACCAGTTGTCACTTAAGGTCTTCCTGAACCAGATGCATTTTTTTTTTTCCAGTACCTTTAAGTATCAGTTGATTCTTTACTACAAAGCTGTTTTTTCTGCCCCTGGACCTTGGTAAATGTCCATTATCTACAGCTTTATTGTAGAGTTCTGTTAGGTAGCTATGCACTTTGTAATAAAAAAAATCCTCAACAGTCTTGCATGTTTTAAATCTGCTACTACTTTCCCTCTTTGGCAGCCCCTGTTCAGTGTGCAGAGTGAGTAGTTAATCCCATTTCCTCTCACTCTGCAACTTTGAATTTTCTATTTTGTCTGCAAAGTGTCATACCCTTCTTCATTATTCTGTGTTTAGGGCTTTCTTGATTATTCTAATTGTCATTTTGTACCTGCAAGTTAGTGTAGTATTTGCTTGTACTAACCTGTGTTGGGTCTGCTTTAGTTACTATAAACAATGTTCTCTGTGTTCTCCTTGGGTAATTGATTGTTAATTGCAATTTGCAGGTCCGAAAACATACAGTTTTAGTTCAGCAACAGATTCCGGGGCTGCTGCAAATCTAGATAAATCTGTTCTTAAGGTGAGCATCTTCTTTACATGAAATAACTTTGATTTTCATTGTACTGCTTTAGCTGAGTAAATATTTCTTCAACTCTTTTTCAGTTTTATATGTGCAGGTGGCCTACATTCACATATTAGATATTGACTGATGATATTTTGGGGTTTGAGTATGCTTTAAGAAAGGGGGGTAAACTAATGGCATAGGAAAATGTCTATTTTTTTAATATACTTTCCATGCAACACTATTAAGAATTATCTTTGGGTTTCTTTTTTGCGTATGGATTTTTCTTCCTGTCAAAGAAAGAATACAGATTTTATATAATAACCTCAGGGGCAACTAAAGCTTGGTTTATACTTTGGAAAAGTTAAAAATATTGGAATTCTACACTAAAATTATTTTTAAAGTTATATAGGAAGGAGAGCGTCACAGATTGTATCTTGATGTTCAGATTATTTTATACCAGCTCTTGTAAGCAGAGGAGAAAGTCCTTGTTTTTCCAGTAGAATTTTTTTTTATTTCCTTAGATATTTCCTTGAAAATGTAAATGGTCCTGCTTTGTAATAAGGAATGAACTCTTCTATTTCAAGTAAAAGCATATAGGTTGCCAAAGTAAAGAAGTGTTCCTTTCAGAAGAAATGTTTAGGGCATTTATGAAAAGCTGGAGAAGTTGGAATTTGAATGGCAGAGAGATTTCTGCATTCTTACATCCTTAGCCGTGAGTAGCATATGTCTTAAAGATTTCTGGTGTTTACTTTGTGTCAACTAATTTTCTCTGTGCAGGTAACAATAAATGGTAACTTGGAGAAAAGGATTATTGATGTAATCAATGACCATAAAACCCAAAATGATGACAAAGGAATGATTTCCAAAAGACTTACCGCAAAGAAACTACAGGTAGAGTTCAAAGTTCTGTTTTCCAACCGTTGCTTATTTAGAATAAAGGTTTAGTTTTTGTCATTTTTGTCATGTATCATACTGCACTTTTGTGTGCAGTGCAAACCATTACAGCACGCTTTTCGGGATTTACATTATCGATTAGTCAGTGGAATCAACAAGTACGCTTATTAGGAAAAGCACATCTTTATGGATGGATCTTTATGGAACTAAAATCAAGAGTCTTCAGAAAAGACAGAGGAACAGTACTTAATCTGAATGTTTTATGTTTCCTATAGTCATTCAATTTAGCTGGAAAATTGTAGATGTATGTTTTTTTAACCGAAAAATTACATTCTCTACAGAGGCTGGAATGTAGATTTATTTATACCTATGCATGCTTATTTACAAAGAAAATATTATAAATACTGTGTGCAAAACACAATTTTCTGCTTAGCTTTATAATACAGAGTGCATGTTGTTTACCCCTATTTAAAGCCAGTTTCCTGATATGTGGGAAACAGAAGTTTATAAACCTATATTACATTGCTAGATGAAATCCTGGTGTTTTCTGACTTTTTCTATTTATAGGATGTATACATGGCATTACAAAGATTCTCTTTTAAGACTGAACACATTGAAGAAGCGATGAAAAATACACTTTTGTATGGTGGTGATCTTCACTCTGCCCTTGATTGGCTTTGTTTGAATCTTCCTGATGGTGAGTGTGGGTGACAGAGAATAGTTTGTAACAGAAGAGAAATAGGACGTGCTCTGCCATAGGAGTGCTTCACAGTAGTAATTAAATATATTGTTTCACTATATTAGTAGTCACCACAGTGTTCCTCTCATAGATTTCCAGCTTTCTGGTTCTGGGATATTTTAGTGTTTAAAGTCATATGGGCTTGTTCCTGCTCTTGGAGTTCTGTGAAAGTCCAACAAGCAAATACTAGCTTATATAAATGCTAAAACCTAATTTTTATTTCGGGTGTTCTGGTTTTGTTTTGTGTTCTTCTAGTTGGTTCCCAACACATTTAAAAGACTTTCTGTAATTATTGGCATTTTCTGTGACATGGGTTTTTTATTTTGAAGATGCTTTGCCTGAAGGTTTTAGCCAGCAGTT